CAAATGGCGCAGACTGTGGAAATGCCAAAAATATTTGGTTAAGCTTAATTAAAATCTAATTTGAAATAAATAACTATAGGTTTAGTTTAGGCAAGAGAAATAAGAATAGTTGCCATAAAAACTTGAAAGAAATTTGTAGTTTAGCAAAATGGAACAAATTAAAGGGAAAGAAAGGTTCAAAATTAATTATTCGAAACAGACAATTTCAATGAAGTCGCATTTCTCTGTAAGAGAGTTTAGAATTTAAGCTACAAATGTGTCTAAAACACCTAATTGCTATTACGACAACAATTTTCGTTGTTAGAACAAAACTTTGAATAATATTTCGTAAATATAACAACGCAACAAATTTTAAACATTTTTATAAAAAACAAAGGTTATAGCACAAACTGTCAATGAATACTGGACATATTTAAAAGCTATACAGTTTAAACTTTATCATAGCTACAACAAGTTTCATTGTTACGACAAAACTTTGGACAATATTTCGTTAATATAACAACGCAACAAATTTTAAGCATTTTTACTAAAACTAATAGTTATAGGAGAAGTCATCAATGAATGGTGGACAATGTTGAAAGCCATACACAAATATCGGATGTACCCGATCGCATAGCAGATCCCAGCGGATCATAAAGCAAATATCTGGCTGTAATCTAAAGAACTATGTTCAGAAAACTGAGTTTCTTAAGATCGGAAGATAGTACCTAAAAAAGCAACACATTTTAAGCAAAAAGTTATCATCAATGAATGCTAGATACATTGGTGGGCCATATACAAATATCGGACTTTCTCGATTGCATAGCAGATTTATAATTTGTATGTGAACTTTAAGGCATTGATACCAGGGGATCATAAAGCAAATATCCATAAAGCAAATATCCATAGGAACCAGGCTGTAAACTGAGACCAGGCAGATTTATAATTTGTTGGTGAACTTTAAGACATTGATACCAGTGGATCATAAAGCAAATATCCATAGGAACCAGGCTGTAAACTGAGAGACAAATAAAATTATAAAGAACTGTGCACAGAAAACTAATCGGTGGAAAATACCTTTATAGAACACTCTATACATGGGTTGTGCAACCAACTTTTTACATATAAAAGAGCGCTCAACAGTGCCTATAGTATACTAGGAGTATTGCTAGGGTTCTTCCTTTCAATTTCACCTGTTATTAAGTCAATTGTAAATATGAAAAAAAAAATTTCATTATTATGACAAAGCTTTGAAAATTATTGCGTAAATATAACAACGACACAAATGCTGGGGAAAACTCTATAAATCATCTTTGAATGACAGACACATTGGGAGGCCATACACGAATATCGGACTTTCTCGATTGCATAGCAGATTTAAAATTTGTTGGTGAACTTTAAGACATTGATACCAGTGGATCATAAAGCAAATACTCTTAGGAACTAGGCTGGTGAACTTTAAGACATTGATACCAGTGGATCATAAAGCAAATATCCATAGGAATCAGGCTGTAAACTGAGAGACAAATAAAATTTTAAAGAACTGTGCACAGAAAACTGAGCTTCTCAAAATCGGAGGAAAATACCTTTATAGAACACTCTATACATGGGTTGTGCAACCAACTTTTTACATATAAAAAAGCGCTCAACACTAAGAGTATTGCTAGGGTTCTTCCTTTCAATTTCACCTGTTATTAAGTCAATTGTAAATATGACAAAAAGTTTTGTTATTGTGACAAAGCTTTGAAAATTATTGCGTAAATATAACAACGACACAAATGCTGGGGAAAACTCTATAATTTTGAATAGTTTTAATTAAATTCAAACTAAATTCGCTTTAAATTTTTTTCTAAAATATTTGGAATCACTATTTTCTCTTTAATTGCATAAAATATTTACGAAATTTATTTCATAATTAAAAAAAACTATTTCTTTTCACAAAAAATATCTTCAAACCATTTATATCAAAATTTATTTTGACATTTTAATTAACTTCATTTCAGCCATATCAATTTGGGTCACATTTTAAAAGCAGTATTGTTGCCACATGTTGACGACGACATTCATTCATGTTTTTCTTACGCCCAATTTTATCAGCAACTACATTTTCTTTAAAAAAAAAATCATATTACATTTGTCTACTTATTTCAGAAAAACATATTTTTCTGTGTTTCTCACGCTGCGATTTTTGTTTAGCGATTTAAAGATTAAATTAATAAGCAGTTATTTACCTCCTTTTTGTAGCCAATTTTTTTATTTTTGGTCATTTTAAAATACACCTTGCCAATATTATTTTTTTTACACGTTTTTAGCACTAACAGTTTAAAGTTTTACTTTTATTTTGATACGTGTAAAATTGTTAAGAGAGAATTGTATTTATTGGCTTGAATAATTTTAACAAATACTCGTTTGTATTTATTAATGTTTTGAATGACATTATAAATTGATCGCTACAGGTTTTAGTTTAATATTAAAAAAGTTTTAATTAAAAGCCTAAATTATGAATGAACTTAAAATTTAATGAACAGTGGGGTGTAAAGTAACACGAAGTTTTTTTTTTGAGATAAGGATTATGATTTATAAATTTGTTTAATCTTAAGAGGAGTTTTTTTTCGGAATAGATTTTATTGTACATGCGCATGAATCTGACTCAAAACTTAAAATTTTCTCACACTTGAAGCTTGAAGTGCATTATGATGGAATTAGGAAAAAAGGTTATGGTAGGAAGGAAGGATAGAAGAAGTAGTGTTTAAACAATGGATTTATATATATTTAAAACGCAAGTGAGAGGCATGACCTTTTACTGGCAGTTTATACCACATACGGAAAGTATGACCTAATGGTGTGATCCATTGGGCAATCGAACACAAATGGTTGTTTTGCGTATAAATCGGACAATATCCCTAATTTCAGAGAATCAATAGTTTTGTATACACCCCTTCGTCAAAATTCGTCTGACACTGATCACATGAAAACCGCTAACCGATACCAAACAAAAGGTTGTTAGGAGGTTTTACAGTCCAGCACTTTTACCTCCGAATACTATTGGGTGTATAACTTAAATAAAGGAAATTGGGTGTCATAAAAGTGACTTTGAAAGACAATCTTGAATGTCCTAAATTCTGCTTAAAGCGATGAATTTATAACGATAACCCGATGTGTTTGGGAAAGCCTTATAGTCCAAACCTTAAAAAGTCTAATTAATTTTTCTTTCGATTGATATAGAACGCTCTAAAACTTAATTTGAACTGAACCAGAACTGAACTAAAACTGAACAAGAACTGAACTAGAACTGAACTAGAACTGAACTAGAACTGAACTAGAACTGAACTAGAACTGAACTAGAACTGAACTAGAACTGAACTAGAACTGAACTAGAACTGAACTAGAACTGAACTAGAACTGAACTGAACTAGAACTGAACTAGAACTGAACTAGAACTGAACTAGAACTGAACTAGAAACTGAACTAGAATCTGAACTAGAACTAACTAGAACTGAACTAGAACTGAACTAGAACTGAACTAGAACTGAACTAGAACTGAACTAGAACTGAACTAGAACTGAACTAGAACTGAACTAGAACTGAACTAGAACTGAACTAGAACTGAACTAGAACTGAACTAGAACTGAACTAGAACTGAACTAGAACTGAACTAGAACTGAACTAGAACTGAACTAGAACTGAACTAGAACTGAACTAGAACTGAACTAGAACTGAACTAGAACTGAACTAGAACTGAACTAGAACTGAACTAGAACTGAACTAGAACTGACTAGAACTGAACTAGAACTGAACTAGAACTGAACTAGAACTGAACTAGAACTGAACTAGAACTGAACTAGAACTGAACTAGAACTGAACTAGAACTGAACTAGAACTGAACTAGAACTGAACTAGAACTGAACTAGAACTGAACTAACTGAACTAGAACTGAACTAGAACTGAACTAGAACTGAACTAGAACTGAACTAGAACTGAACTAGAACTGAACTAGAACTGAACTAGAACTGAACTAGAACTGAACTAGAACTGAACTAGAACTGAACTAGAACTGAACTAGAACTGAACTAGAACTGAACTAGAACTGAACTAGAACTGAACTAGAACTGAACTAGAACTGAACTAGAACTGAACTAGAACTGAACTAGAACTGAACTAGAACTGAACTGAACTAGAACTGAACTAGAACTGAACTAGAACTGAACTAGAACTGAACTAGAACTGAACTAGAACTGAACAAGAACTGAACAAGAACTGAACTAGAACTGAACTAGAACTTAACTAGAACTTAACTAGAACTGAACTAGAACTGAACTAGAACTGAACTAGAACTGAACTAGAACTGAACTAGAACTGAACTAGAACTGAACTAGAACTGAACTAGAACTGAACTAGAACTGAACTAGAACTGAACTAGAACTGAACTAGAACTGAACTAGAACTGAACTAGAACTGAACTAGAACTGAACTAGAACTGAACTAGAACTGAACTGAACTAGAACTGAACTAGAACTGAACTAGAACTGAACTAGAACTGAACTAGAACTGAACTAGAACTGAACTAGAACTGAACTAGAACCAAAGTTGATCTGAACTACAAGTGGACTAGAACTTTTATCTAGAGTCTCTAGAGAAATATTTCATTATTTTCTGAAATAACCAAGTATTGCACATTACTATACATACGTAGAATTTCTCTGGCATTTATTCAACAATTTTCCTATAATTCACTATTAAATTGATTTCAACTATCATAATTTAATACGTCTAGACTTTTAATATTAAATTTAACGAATAAATGAAATCACAAATGGCGTAAAAATGTCAACTTATTTTCATGGAAATTCAAAAGACAGAGAACTGCAAACTTTAGCAGCAAATTTTGCTTACAAAAGCTACATTTACAAAGAAAAAATTTAGCATCTAGATAATATTAAGAACTGCAGCATTTTCATAGAAACTACGACAAATATTATTATTACTCATTTATAAAATAAATTTATAAAAAAAAAACTTACATGCTCATCGACTGAATAAGTGAGTTCACCATCATCATATAAAACGAACCATCTTCTTTGCCATCTCTAAAAAGAAATAAAACCACAAAATTGCATTAAAAAAGTGGAAAATTAAAAATTAATAAAAATAATTATAATGATTATTTTAGTTAAAAAAAATGGAGAATTTATCTTTAGTTTAAAGCTAAAATAAATTTATAATTTATGGTGTTTGTATAAAAGCAAGAAATAATTTTTTGCAGTGAAAATCCGCCTATAAACTGGGTCATTTTTGTAAAAATTTGTCTGCATTATTCATTAAATCAATTAAATCACCACAAAGATGACGACGACAAAAAGCACTTTAGAACTTAATTTTTTGTCATTAAAATTATACTTATAATGACAATAACAGCTGTAGTTTATAGGCCAAATATAAAAATTATGTTCGTATGTCCTCAACAATATGCAAATGCATTTAAATCTTCTTAAATGAAATATGCTTAAATTTTATGCACTAAAAGTGTTTTTTATGAATTTTCATAAAAATTTATTTTAAAAATATTTAGCATATAAATGACACTTTCGAGTCATAAACTGCCTGTTAGTGCTTCAAAAGATTAACACTAAAGTTTTACTTAAAACGTTTATTCTGCCACTCTTGTCTGCTGGCTGGCCTTATTCTTTTACTTTTTGAGATAATAATTTTAACATACATAACTCTATCTGTTCTTAAACATAAATATTTATGTTTAAATGGGTAGAAAGCAATGTGGCAAATACAAGAAAAAAAGAAAAGAAATCATAATTTTAGTTTATTTAATATATAAACGATTACTTAAGGCTGGAAGCATTCATATACATGATTTACATTTGCATACTCATAAATACTTGTAATTGTAGTTACAAAGCCGGATATTTATATGCGGTTATTATGAATTATGATAAATACTTGGGTGACTGACATGCATTACATAAACTAGAACTGAAATAGAACCAAACTAGAACAGAACTGAACCAGAACAGAACTAGAACTGAACTAGAACTGAACTAGAACAGAACTAGAACTGAACTAGAATTGAACTAGAACTGAACTAGAACAGAACTAGAACTGAACTGAACTGGAACTGAACTAGAACTGAACTAGAACTGAACTAGAACTGAACTAGAACTGAACTAGAACTGAACTAGAACTGAACTAGAACTGAACTAGAACTGAACTAGAACTGAACTAGAACTGAACTAGAACTGAACTAGAACTGAACTAGAACTGAACTAGAACTGAACTAGAACTGAACTAGAACTAGAACTGAACTAGAACTGAACTAGAACTGAACTAGAACTGAACTAGAACTGAACTAGAACTGAACTAGAACTGAACTAGAACTGAACTAGAACTGAACTAGAACTGAACTAGAACTGAACTAGAACTGAACTAGAACTGAACTAGAACTGAACTAGAACTGAACTAGAACTGAACTAGAACTGAACTAGAACTGAACTAGAACTGAACTAGAACTGAACTAGAACTGAACTAGAACTGAACTAGAACTGAACTAGAACTGAACTAGAACTGAACTAGAACTGAACTAGACTGAACTAGACTGAACTAGAACTGAACTAGAACTGAACTAGAACTGAACTAGAACTGAACTAGAACTGAACTAGAACTGAACTAGAACTGAACTAGAACTGAACTAGAACTGAACTAGAACTGAACTAGAACTGAACTAGAACTGAACTAGAACTGAACTAGAACTGAACTAGAACTGAACTAGAACTGAAACTAGAACTGAACTAGAACTGAAACTAGAACTGAACTAGAACTGAACTAGAACTGAACTAGAACTGAACTAGAACTAGAACTGAACTAGAACTGAACTAGAACTGAACTAGAACTGAACTAGAACTGAACTAGAACTGAACTAGAACTGAACTAGAACTGACTAGAACTGAACTAGAACTGAACTAGAACTGAACTAGAACTGAACTAGAACTGAACTAGAACTGAACTAGAACTGAACTAGAACTGAACTAGAACTGAACTAGAACTGAACTAGAACTGAACTAGAACTGAACTAGAACTGAACTAGAACTGAACTAGAACTGAACTAGAACTGAACTAGAACTGAACTAGAACTGAACTAGAACTGAACTAGAACTGAAACTAGAACTGAACTAGAACTGAACTAGAACTGAACTAGAACTGAACTAGAACTGAACTAGAACTGAACTAGAACTGAACTAGAACTGAACTAGAACTGAACTAGAACTGAACTAGAACTGAACTAGAAACTGAACTAGAACTGAACTAGAACTGAACTAGAACTGAACTAGAACTGAACTAGAACTGAACTAGAACTGAACTAGAACTGAACTAGAACTGAACTAGAACTGAACTAGAACTGAACTAGAACTGAACTAGAACTGAACAAGAACTGAATTAGAACTGAACCAGAACTGAACTAGAACTGAACTAGAACTGAACTAGAACTGAACTAGAACTGAACTAGAACTGAACTAGAACTGAACTAGAACTGAACTAGAACTGAACCAGAACTGAACAGAACTGAACTAGAACTGAACTAGAACTGAACTAGAACTGAACTAGAACTGAACTAGAACTGAACTAGAACTGAACTAGAACTGAACTAGAACTGAACTAGAACTGAACTAGAACTGAACTAGAACTGAACTAGAACTGAACTAGAACTGAACTAGAACTGAACTAGAACTGAACTAGAACTGAACTTAGAACTGAACTAGAACTGAACTAGAACTGAACTAGAACTGAACTAGAACTGAACTAGAACTGAACTAGAACTGAACTAGAACTGAACTAGAACTGAACTAGAACTGAACTAGAACTGAACTAGAACTGAGCTAGAACTGAAGCTAGAACTGAACTAGAACTGAACTAGAACTGAACTAGAACTGAACTGAACTAGAACTGAACTAGAACTGAACTAGAACTGAACTAGAACTGAACTAGAACTGAACTAGAACTGAACTAGAACTGAACTAGAACTGAACTAGAACTGAACTAGAACTGAACTAGAACTGAACTAGAACTGAACTAGAACTGAAATAGAACTGAACTAGAACTAAACTAGAGCTGAACTAGAACTGAACTACACTAGAACTAGGAAATTTACCTTTTTATAGAAAATTGCCTCTTTAGAAAATTTTAGCAAATTTCTATTTTTATAGAAAATTTTGTCTTGCAATCGCTCCAATATCGGAGAAGTTTATCAATGTAACATGCCCCGTGTACAACACAACCTAAAATGTGACAATTTTAAACATAACATAATCACTTCCCATTTTCGTATACCCCTAACTGTTGCACAAAATTTTTCCCTCCATTAACTTCACTTTTTCTTTTCACTACAATATTTAGTTCAATTGAACGAAGAAACCGAGAAAGGCGTTGGTTGGCTTTCAACAGATATTCATATGTAAAGACCCCATAGATGTTAAAATATTTTTTATCTTTCTGTAGTAATTTTATTAAATTACATCTACTCTAAATTCATAAATATGCATAGTTTTTATTATCACTTTTTCCCCTGTTAAGATGCAGTAAACATAAAAACTAACTTTAAACATTGGACGTTTTGTATCGTGGAGTTGGTGATGATGGCAGGAGATTTTTTCAGACATTATTTGCTAGAAAAATACTTGAACAATCAAAAAAGAATTTGCATAATTTACTTTTTAAAAAAAGTTTTCTTTTTCATAAAATTAACTTCAAATTGCTATACATGTTGCTGGTGTGCCTAAGCAACATTTATGAGTGGGAGAATTTGTTTCTTTAAGGAAAACTATTATAACAATAACAATTTTGCTCGATTTAAGAAAAATGGAAAACAATAATTTTCCAAAGAAAATGTAAGTTGTATGCAAATTTGGCATATTGTAGGCCTTTATGTAAAAACAGAATCATAGTAAAATGTTATAGCAAATTAGAGGGAAATTATGATAAAAAACATTTTTTTTTAATGTTTATAGACAAAAATTTCTTAGAAAATAAACTAAGAGAAATTAGAGCTCTACATACATACATATTTGCTATCTTTGAAATTGTATTTTCAATTAATAGCTACAGTCTCAAATTACTGTCTCATTTTATTTCCAAAACAACCTTTTCAATTATTTAATGTCGCTTTTTTAAGACTACACACACTAATTACGGTTAATTTAATTAAATTTTATGTTTTCTTTATAAAATCAATAAACTTAATTTTAAAACTTGCTTGTATTTACACTAGTTTGTTTTATATGTTTTTCTGTTTAATTTTATTGTTTTTTTTTTTTTTATAATTGTCACTGAAATGTCAAATGTCAATGGCAAATAACAATCAATCAATCAAAATGGTCGTCGGCTGTTTGAATTTTAAACTTGTATTTTATTTCAAATACAAGATGTTATATAAACGTTTGAAAAATAACATTTTTGATATTAATAACCACGAGATATGTAATTGATTGATATTTAAAAACATTGTATAATTACTCAGGTTACTAGGCTTTAAATTCAAATTGTATTTGTATATTTGTTAACGAGAGATGCACTGTGGCGTAGTAATTAGAAGGGGTTGAAAGCAAAATCTCGTTTCAAAGTAAAAAGTGTGAGAAAAGGTTCTTCACAAGGTTTTTGAAAAAAAAGTTTTTTGCAAAAGCTTTTTATAAAAAGAAGCTTTTTTACAGAAGCTTTTTGTAAATAACTTTACTAGAACTGTGCTAGATCAGCTAGAACCGCCCGAACTGAGCTAGAACTGAACTAGAACTGAACTAGAACTGAACTAGAACTGAACTAGAACCGAACTAGAACTGAACCAGAACTGAACTAGAACTGAACTAGAACTGAACTAGAACTGAACCAGAACTGAACTAGAACTGAACTAGAACTGAACTAGAACTGAACTGAACTAGAACTGAACTAGAACTGAACTAGAACTGAACTAGAACTGAACTAGAACTGAACTAGAACTGAACTAGAACTGAACTAGAACTGAACTAGAACTGAACTAGAACTGAACTAGAACTGAACTAGAACTGAACTAGAACTGAACTAGAACTGAACTAGAACTGAACTAGAACTGAACTAGAACTGAACTAGAACTGAACTAGAACTGAACTAGAACTGAACTAGAACTGAACTAGAACTGAACTAGAACTGAACTAGAACTGAAACTAGAACTGAACTAGAACTGAACTAGAACTGAACTAGAACTGAACTAGAAACTGAACTAGAACTGAACTAGAACTGAACTAGAACTGAACTAGAACTGAACTAGAACTGAACTAGAACTGAACTAGAACTGAACTAGAACTGAACTAGAACTGAACTAGAACTGAACTAGAACTGAACTAGAACTAAACTAGAACTGAACTAGAACTGAACTAGAACTGAACTAGAACTGAACTAGAACTGAACTAGAACTGAACTAGAACTGAACTAGAACTGAACTAGAACTGACTAGAACTGAACTAGAACTGAACTAGAACTGAAACTAGAACTGAACTAGAACTGAACTAGAACTGAACTAGAACTGAACTAGAACTGAACTAGAACTGAACTAGAACTGAACTAGAACTGAACTAGAACTGAACTAGAACTGAACTAGAACTGAACTAGAACTGAACTGAACTAAACTGAACTAGAACTGAACTAGAACTGAACTAGAACTGAACTAGAACTGAACTAGAACTGAACTAGATCTAAACTAGAAACTGAACTAGAACTGAACTAGAAACTGAACTAGAGAACTGAACTAGAACTGACTAGAACTGAACTAGAACTGAACTAAACTGAACTAGAACTAGAACTGAACTAGAACTGAACTAGAACTGAACTAGAACTGAACTAGAACTGAACTAAACTGAACTAGAACTGAACTAAACTGAACTAGAACTGAACTAGAACTGACTAGAAACTAGAACTGAACTAGAACTGAACTGAAGAACTGAAACTAGAACTGAACTAGAACTGACTGACTAGAACTTAAACTAACTAAACTGATTTACACCACTTAACTAGAACCAGAAAATTTTGAATCTATATTCAATACCAAATCGTTGCTAGTGTGCCTTAGTTACTAAGCTAAATAATTTTGTTCATTCAAAATCAAACAGTGTAAAAAAATGGTATCGGGGTCCGTTTGTTTAAGCTTTGCTCAAACTAAACGTAATTATGACAGGCGTCTTAAATTACTTCAAAAGATATGTAAGTACTAGAGCGCGTACAAGTGAGTGATGAAAAACAAACATTTGAAATTGTTATTAAAAGCTAAAAAAAAAAATAAATATAAAACCACAAATTGCATTTCATAATACGTACAGTATTAGGTAAAGAGGGAATAACTAGATATTTTCTTTATAAATTTTATTTATAGAAAGTATGTATATTTTTATTGTATTTCAAATGTTCGCATTTAACTTGTGGTGTGTGATATGAGTCTGACAAAATTGTAGTTGAAATACAATAAAAATGTGTTGGGTAATAATAACTCAAATTGCATTTCCTTAAATTGCAAAGTTTTATTTATGCAGTTGCTATACAAATATTAAAAAAATTTGTGCTCAAGTTTTATTTAAAACAAATTGAGATAAATAATGGGATTTAGGATTTCGAGTTGAACTGGAGATCTGATGAATTTAAGGCCCAATCTTATTGATTTGTAATAGCAGAAATCTTAAGTGTATGTTTGAAAGTCGAATTTAATTCAGGGGGTCTCAACATTTTATTTATAACAACATTTGGACAGACTTCATATCAGCTACTCCGTTACCGAAGAGAATCCAGAATATATATTAGTAGTGAAATTGCCAGGGACTTCCAAAGTCCAGCTGTTTAAATAAAATTATTAATGATTATTTGCATTTAAGAGTGAATATGAATTATTTTCAATAACTATTCGTCACAGCTATTTCAATATATGCTAAAGATAAACAATATGGCTTATCTTTTAGTAACTAACTTCTATTAAGATAATTAATTTAAATAAAATAATTTCAAGTTCATTTTGAAAATAATAAATTGATTACAAAATTAGTTGGATTTAAGCGACAAAAGCGTTTAGAACTAAAAAACCGAACGTTGCTAGAAGAAAATTTCTCAATAATGGATTTGGAAGGTAAAAATGTGGTTTACGTAGCCGATTGTGGAGGCCTGGCTTTTGAGACCTGTAAAGTATTAGTATCACGTAATATAGCGGTGAGTTTAAACCACAATTAAAAATATCCAAAGAAATTTTTAAAAAAAATTGTTTCTTTATTCCTTAAGAAACTCGCCATTCTTCATAGTGTCGACAATCCTCAGGCCATAGCCAAACTTCAGGCTTTAAATCCTCGCACCCAAATTTTCTTTTGGAAATTTTCTTTTACCATGAGCCGCTCGAAAATGAAACGTTATTTCGATGATGTTATAACACAAATTGATTGTATAGATGTTTTGATAAATGGCAGCACTTTGTGCAAGGAACAAGATGTTGATGCCTCAATTAATGTGAACTTAATCACGCCCATTAATATTGTCAGTATTGTTATGCCTTTTATGGATAAGAGTAAAGATGGTGGCCGGGGTGGTATGATTGTGAATATTAATTCGGTGACTGGGTTGGATCCCTCGCCCGTATTTTGTGTTTATAGTGCGGCCAAGTTTGGCTTGCTAGGTTTTACCAGGAGTCTAGCGGTGAGTATTGAAAACTAAAAGATTTTAGTTCTAGTTTAGTTCTAGTTCAGTTCTAGTTCAGTTCTAGTTCAGTTCTAGTTCAGTTCTAGTTCAGTTCTAGTTCAGTTCTAGTTCAGTTCTAGTTCAGTTCTAGTTCAGTTCTAGTTCAGTTCTAGTTCAGTTCTAGTTCAGTTCTAGTTCAGTTCTAGTTCAGTTCTAGTTCAGTTCTAGTTCAGTTCTAGTTCAGTTCTAGTTCAGTTCTAGTTCAGTTCTAGTTCAGTTCTAGTTCAGTTCTAGTTCAGTTCTAGTTCAGTTCTAGTTCAGTTCTAGTTCAGTTCTAGTTCAGTTCTAGTTCAGTTCTAGTTCAGTTCTAGTTCAGTTCTAGTTCAGTTCTAGTTCAGTTCTAGTTCAGTTCTAGTACAGTTCTAGTTCAGTTCTAGTTCAGTTCTAGTTCAGTTCTAGTTCAGTTCTAGTTCTAGTTCTAGTTCAGTTCTAGTTCAGTCTAGTTCAGTTCTAGTTCAGTTCTAGTTCAGTTCTAGTTCAGATCTAGTTCATTTCTAGTTCAGTTCTAGTTCAGTTCTTGTTCAGTTCTAGTTCAGTTCTAGTTCAGTTCTAGTTCAGTTCTAGTTCAGTTCTAGTTCAGTGCTAGTTCAGTGCTAGTTCAGTTCTAGTTCAGTTCTAGTTCAGTTCTAGTTCAGTTCTAGTTCAGTTCTAGTTCAGTTCTAGTTCAGTTCTAGTTCAGTTCTAGTTCAGTTCTAGTTCAGTTCTAGTTCAGTTCTAGTTCAGTTCTAGTTCAGTTCTAGTTCAGTTCTAGTTCAGTTCTAGTTCAGTTCTAGTTCAGTCTAGTTCAGTTCTAGTTCAGTTCTAGTTCAGTTCTAGTTCAGTTCTAGTTCAGTTCCAGTTCAGTTCTAGTTCAGTTCTAGTTCTGTTCTGGGTTAGTTTAGTTCAGTGCTGTTCCGTTGTCAAACTGTAAATAAAGTCTTTAAACGATAATGAAAAATAAATTTTTTCCTAAACTTTCCTCAGATTCTTTTAATAGTTTTTGTTAAACTCTATAAAAATTTCCTATTGTCTTATAAAAAAACATAGTAAAAATATTTTTCTACATACTTTTCCATCTTTCATTTTATCTAACAAAATAAATATGTATCACCAAACGAACGAACATTTTAGCACCCAATTTATTACGATAAAACTGGTGTTGCGGTATTGGGCATTTGTTGTGGTCCCACAAAAACTTTTGTACGTCATACAATGAAGGCATTTCTTGAATATGGACAAGAGTATGTGGATAAATTAAAAGGGGCACCATGTCAGGAAACCGCAGTGTGTGCACGCAATATAGTACGAGCCATAGAAATGGGTTCAAATGGACAAATATGGATAGCTGACAATGAACGTTTGGACATTGTGAAACCACAACTCTATTGGAAAATGTCAAATGAATTGTTGGAGTATATGGAACGTTGAAGGAAAACAAAAGAAAACATCTTATAGTTTTGTGCAAAAATAAAAAATCTTTATTATGAGTTTCTTTTCAGCAAAAGGGTCAATAAACTTTTTGCTTAAGAACAAAAAAAATATTATTTTTCTTTGTAGTCGTATTGTGTTTTTCTTTTTTTTGAGTTTTTTTTTTTGTAATATTTTGCGGCCAACATGGTTTACAAGCAGATTTGTTGTTTTTATTAATTTTTTTTTACACACTATGGTTTGTAAACTATTACGGAATTCCCCTGAAAAAATGTTTTGTTGCAAGAACCACAAAATAAGCAAATCACTTAAAATAAACTTTTGGCATACATTCAAGAAAAATTTTTTTATTTGCGTTTTTCTTTCTAGAGATTTTTTCTTTATGAATAGTTAGATATTTTGCCGGTATTTCTGTTTGTGATGTGCCACACTCATATATTAGAAAATGCAATTAAGCTATTGTAAATTTTAGAAAATGCCACAAGAAAAATATTGTGTGTTTGGCGCAATACACGAAAAAATAGCAAATATTTAACACTAGAGAAACCAAGGTTTCAAAATAGAGACAGAAGAAGGCTAATGCTTATATTTAAATGGTTAAAGAAATTATTTTCCAATTTTTATTTTAAAAAATCTCAACAGCTCAATAAACATGAGACCATACACTAAATACTTGAACTGAATACTTTTAGTCATGCTCCCCCATTCTACGCCCTTTTCGACTTTTAATTGTGTTAAAAATAAATATGATTTTATTTCGTTGGTATTTTCTATACTACATTTTTTTCAGCTTTTTGTACCAGGTACTAAATTTATGGCTTCTTTGGTTTATATTTCAAAACATTATACAAAATTCACGTGCCACAAAACTCATTTAGTCATATGTATACCCAGCAGTTTTAAAGGAAAGCAATGCATTCCTTAAAAAATACTAACAGTATATAAATTTTAATGAAAAGGGAACAATCGGTTACTCTGTATATCATTGGTAATCTACAGTGTAATCAATTGTCAAGTTAGAGATCCAAAGTAAACTATATGTTTATTAGAACCAGTTTTAGTTCAATTCAAGCTCTGTTCTATTCAGTTTTAGTTTCAGTTCTAGTTCGGTTCTAGTTCAGTTCTAGTTCAGTTCTAGTTCAGTTCTAATTCAGTTCTAGTTCAGTTCTAGTTCAGTTCTAGTTCAGTTTCTAGTTCTAGTTCCAGTTCTAGTTCAGTCAGTTTCCAGTTCTAGTTCAGTTTCTAGTTCAGTTCTAGTTCAGTTCTCTAGTTAGTTCTAGTTTAGTTTCTAGTTTAATTCTAGTTCAGTACCGATTCAGTACTAGTTCAGTTATCTAGTTCTGTTCTAGTTCAGTTCTATTTCAGTTCTAGTTCCAGTTTAGTTCAGTAGATTCAGTTTCTAGATCAGTTCTAGTATCAGTTCTAGTATCAGTTCTAGATCAGTTCTAGTTCAGTTCTAGTTCAGTTCTAGTTCAGTTCTAGTTCAGTTCTAGTCAGTTCTAGTTCAGTTCTAGTCGTTCAGGTTCTAGTATTCAGTTCTAGTTCAGTTCTAGTTCAGTTCTAGTTCAGTTCTAGTTCAGTTCTAGTTCAGTTCTAGTTCAGTTCTAGTTCAGTTCTAGTTCAGTTCTAGTTCAGTTCTAGTTCAGTTCTAGTTCAGTTCTAGTTCAGTTCTAGTTCAGTTCTAGTTCAGTTCTAGTTCAGTTCTAGTTCAGTTCTAGTTCAGTTCTAGTTCAGTTCTAGTTCAGTTCTAGTTCAGTTCTAGTTCAGTTCTAGTTCAGTTCTAGTTCAGTTCTAGTTCAGTTCTAGTTCAGTTCTAGTTCAGTTCTAGTTCAGTTCTAGTTCAGTTCTAGTTCAGTTCTAGTTCAGTTCTAGTTCAGTTCTAGTTCAGTTCTAGTTCAGTTCTAGTTCAGTTCTAGTTCAGTTCTAGTTCAGTTCTAGTTCAGTTCTAGTTCAGTTCTAGTTCAGTTCTAGTCAGTTCTAGTTCAGTTCTAGTTCAGTTCTAGTTCAGTTCTAGTTCAGTTCTAGTTCAGTTCTAGTTCAGTTCTAGTTCAGTTCTAGTTCAGTTCTAGTTCAGTTCTTGTTCAGTTCTAGTTCAGTTCTAGTTCAGTTCTACTCTAGTTCTAGTTTAGTTCTAGTTTAGTTCTAGTTAAGTTCTAGTTCAGTTCTAGTTCAGTTCTAGTTCAGTTCTACTCCAGTTCTAGTTTAGTTCTAGTTAAGTTCTAGTTCAGTTCTAGTTCAGTTCTAGTTCAGTTCTAGTTCAGTTCTAGTTCAGTTCTAGTTCAGTTCTAGTTCAGTTCTAGTTCAGTTTTAGTTCAGTTCTAGTTCGGTTCAGTTCTAGTTCAGTTCTAGTTCAGTTCTAGTTCAGTTCTAGTTCAGTTCTAGTTCAGTTCTAGTTCAGTTCTAGTTCAGTTCTAGTTCAGTTCTAGTTCAGTTCTAGTTCAGTTCTAGTTCAGTTCTAGTTCAGTTCTAGTTCAGTTCTAGTTCAGTTCTAGTTCAGTTCTAGTTCAGTTCTAGTTCAGTTCTAGTTCAGTTCTAGTTCAGTTCTAGTTCAGTTCTAGTTCAGTTCTAGTTCAGTTCTAGTTCAGTTCTAGTTCAGTTCTAGTTCAGTTCTAGTTCAGTTCTAGTTCAGTTCTAGTTCAGTTCTAGTTCAGTTCTAGTTCAGTTCTAGTTCAGTTCTAGTTCAGTTCTAGTTCAGTTCTAGTTCAGTTCTAGTTCAGTTCTAGTTCAGTTCTAGTTCAGTTCTAGTTCAGTTCTAGTTCAGTTCTAGTTCAGTTCTAGTTCAGTTCTAGTTCAGTTCTAGTTCAGTTCTAGTTCAGTTCTAGTTCAGTTCTAGTTCAGTTCTAGTTCAGTTCTAGTTCAGTTCTAGTTCAGTTCTAGTTCAGTTCTAGTTCCAGTTCTAGTTCAGTTCTAGTTCAGTTCTAGTTCAGTTCTAGTTCAGTTCTAGTTCAGTTCTAGTTCAGTTCTAGTTCAGTTCTAGTTCAGTTCTAGTTCAGTTCTAGTTCAGTTCTAGTTCAGTTCTAGTTCAGTTCTAGTTCAGTTCTAGTTCAGTTCTAGTTCAGTTCTAGTTCAGTTCTAGTTCAGTTCTAGTTCAGTTCTAGTTCAGGTTCTAGTTCAGTTCTAGTTCAGTTCTAGTTCAGTTCTAGTTCAGTTTAGTTCAGTTCTAGTTCAGTTCTAGTTCAGTTCTAGTTCAGTTCTAGTTCAGTTCTAGTTTCAGTTTCTAGTTTCAGTTCTCTAGTTCAGTTCTAGTTTAGTTCTAGTTTAGTTCTAGTTTCAAAGTTTCTAGTTCAGTTCTAGTTCAGTTCTAGTTCAGTTCTAGTTCAGTTCTAGTTCAGTTCTAGTTCAGTTCTAGTTCAGTTCTAGTTCAGTTCTAGTTCAGTTCTAGTTCAGTTCTAGTTCAGTTCCAGTCAGTTCTAGTTCAAGTTCTAGTTCAGTTCTAGTTCAGTTCTAGTTCAGTTCTAGTTCAGTTCATTTCAGTTCTATTTCAGTTCTGTTCTAGTTCAGTTCTATTTTCAGTTCTGTTTCTAGTTCAGTTCTAGTTCAGTTCTATTCAGTTCTGTTCTAGTTCGTTCTATTTCAGTTCTGTTCTAGTTCAGTTCTAGTCTATTCAGTTCAGTTCTAGTTCAGTTCTAGTTCAGTTTTAGTTCAGTTTTGGTTCAGTTCTAGTTCAGTTCTAGTTCAGTTCTAGTTCTTTTTTACAGGAATCTTCTTTTAATCAGAATGGTTTTGGTATAGTACACTTTAGAATTACAATGTGTTTGTTGTATTTGTAGTTTAATATATTAGAAAATTATACTGAAAACCAAAAATACAAAAAAAAACTGACTAAAAATCGATTAGTCACTGTTACTGAACCGTGCAATTGTCAAAGATTATTTTTCATTTAGAACGTTGTTTCATCCATAAGCATAAAGAAAAACGAAAAAAAAAACTAAAAAAATATTAACAAATTACTATCGTTTTAAAGCCGCTGTTGTTATTGCTGCTGCCGAAGAAGTAGTAAAATCGCAGTAAAATATTTATGAATTTGATGCATTGCCAATAGACGATATCCGTACATATTGCGAAAAGTATTAATAGTGAATTTATAGCGGATGGGGCATAGTTTTTATTGCAACATACTATGACTATTCCACTGTTCGTTTATATTTCTATTGCCAAGTCATTATTATTTTTATATGTTCCTTTATGCATTTGTACGTACATATGAACTTTTGATTAATTAAACTTACGTCTAATTGTATTGGATGTTTAGGTTTTCTTTTATTTGTAATTTTGTTTCATCGTCGTCTGCAGTTATAACTAGAAATACCATGAAATTGGTTTGGGGAAAAAAAACTGTAGTCAAATGAAGCGTAAAAATGCATGTTTTTATTTGAGTTCAGCATGTGGCAATCGTTTTGAAAATCTATGGCGTAGTTCCTCTATAACTTCCTTACAAAAACTTACAGCTAATTTCTAATAAATGATGGCAATTTTGCTTAAACTTAAATATCTAAAAAATCTATGTTCATATTTAATCTTTTTGAGCAAGATTAATATCATCCTTCGTTTAATGTTTAATTCTAATTATTCGTTTTTCGTAAACTATAAATTGGTAGGTTTAAAAATTATGTGGAAATATACAATACATCCCTAGACGATCATTTGAAATCTTCCGACAACATTTCCACTATCCCTGTTAATTTGCAAATACAAATAAAGTTTTAAACTCAAAATACATTTCCTTGTATTCAAATCTAAAGCTTTTTAAACGCAATCCAATCTATTTCACAAAAAACACTGCAATCCTAAAAAAGCTATTACTCCCTAATAACTCCATAGACAACATAATATAGAAATTGAAGAAAAAAGGTTATAAGTAAACAATTTTCTAGCCTACTCTATTTTCTTTCAATAAACAAAGAAGAAAACTCATCATTTTTATTTACAATTTTATCAAAATATAATGAGCTTTTCTTCCACGTCTCTTCATATATTCATATTTACATTTTGTGAAAATAATACGAAACTTCAGGTACACTCCATAGAATTATGATCGTGATAATCAACTTGATGATTGGGCTTAACAAAAAAGGGTTTTTGATGTGTGTGCTTATTATAAAGC